ATATCTATGGTGGTGTGCATATTGCACTTTGAATTTTGGATTTGATTCAATAAATTTTGGATTTTACCTACGTCGGTTTCTGTGCGGGTGATTTCTGGAGATTGGTCCTCTGTATGCACGTTGGAATGAAGGAGCATAGCGCATGCTCATAAATGGAGAGGAGAGGGTGTGCATTGCATGCTGGGTGCTCCCTGTCTCTCCTAAATTAAAATTAGGGTGGAGGCAGGGCCGGCTTTACTCTCTATGCTGCCCCAAGGCCAGGTTCCTCAATGCGCCCCCCTGCATGCAGGTTGCATACAAGTGATCTTGGCGACATTGCAGAGATCACATGTACAAAACAAGCGGCGGCTTCCCCGTTGTACATTTAGATCTGCTTGCCCAAAGCAGGGCTAAATGTAGAAAACAACTACCCACCCAGCGCCCGGAATCGCATGGCCTGGGCATCGGGAGATATGAATTCAACACCCCTGCTGCCCTTCTACTTCTACATTTTTGTGATCATGAGTTATGCAAATTAGTGGAGGAACATTTGAGAATATATCTTTTCCTTGGTACAAACATGCTAAACATAACACAAAAACAAAATGAAATATGCAATGTGCTTTGACCATTTTTTCAGTGTGCCTACTTAAAGGAGAACTATGAGGTGAGTGCTTTTCACTCACCTCATAGTTCTAGCCGACCTGTGACAATGAGACTGTCACAGGTCGGCTCTGTAGATCGGGGGGGGGGGCGAACACATACCGGCGTTCGCTCAACTCTCGATCCTGTCACGGCTCTCTGCCGTGACGGGGGGGGCTGGATTCCCCCCTCCCTGCTCCGATCCGCCAGCGCTGACTGGCGGAACGGACAGGGGAGGGAGCGGGTACAGCTGGCTCTGCCTCTAGATAGGCAGAGCCAGCTGTCAGTCACGCAGCTGGGCGGATCCCGGCACAATTGTCGGGATCCTCTTCAGTTGCGGCGTCTCAGTATACCGCGAGCAGCAGCTCGCGGATATCCTGCGGAGCTACAGCTTGCGGTATATTGAGACCTAGGGTGACGGGAGGACGCTAGTTTGTGTCCTCCCGTTACCCTAAGGAGAACTATGGGGAAAAGCCTTAACCCCATAGTTCTCCTTTAATGTACATTTAAACACAAAATTCTATGTGCCGTAAAAAACATGCTGATCTGCAGTGCACAGCTGTGAATAAGCTACATACTGAATAGGATTTCTACTGAAAATACATTTTATTGCTGTAAAATGAAATGGGCCCACCAGTGCAACTGAAACCAATATTTATTTTATTTTTTTTAGTTTTGGATAGAGTGGAGAGGGATGAGAACACTTGTCCAGGTTTTATTGCTGTCTGTGTCCCTATTAGGGAGATTTACCCTCTCGATTTGTGCCGATGACTGTTATAACTGAGAGCGGAAGGGACAGGAAACCCCAAATTTTGGGTTGTCACAAAAACAGAAATAGAGGAGAAATCTTCCAATGTGGACACTAGATATTATTATTGATATATAGGATTTATATGGCACCAACAGTTTGCACAGAGCTTTATAAAATGAATGGAGACAGTATACTTACAATACAATTCAATACAGGAGGGTTAGGACGACCCTGCTTGTGAGAGCTTACAATCTAGTAGGAGGGGCAAGTGATACAAAAGGCATTAATTGTGAGGGATGAGTTGATGGAAGAAGTAAAAGTACAGTTATTATGTGGAGATGGGATAGGCTTCCCCGCAGAGATGGGTTTTCAAGGATCACCTAAAGTGGTGATGTAGCTGGGGGCAGAGTCGTAGATGGCTTTGTACTGTATGTTATTGAAAGTATGTTTCATTTTATTAATTGTGCAAGTGGGAACCAGTGGAGGGATTGGCAGAGATGGGCCGCGGATCCTGAATAGTTGGTAATGGGGGATAGCCTGTGTACACGTAGGCCAATAAGGAGGATTGTAATAGCCAAGGTGAGAGATTACAAGGGGGTGAATTAGAAGCTTCATGAAAAAGGGGATATACAGTTGAAAGTTTTGGGTATCCTTATATATATATATATACAGTATATACCTGTATACAGCAGGGCTCAAAATTTCCACTTAAATTTCCACTTGCCCCCTCGCAATTGGCGAGTGAAAATTGCGAGAGGGCGAGTGGAAATTAATTGGCGGGGAGTCCCCGGGGGGGAGCGCTGCTGGCAGGACGGGGATCGGGGTTGAAACTACCGCTGCTTCTGCGGCGATCGCTCTCTCTCTTCTCTGTCCTGGGTGAAGGGAAGACAACCAAGCTGATTCTTCTCCTAGGCGGCCGCTGCAGCAACAGAGCGGCCGCAGAGGAGAAGAATCGGTACGGCTGTCTTCCCTTCACTCTGCCCACCTGCAGCTTCCTCCGCCCACCTCATCTGCCATAGGCTGGAGGAAGACTGCAGCTGCTATTGGCCGGCTCTAAGTTTTTGCAGCGCAGGAAGGGTGGCTTCAGCTGTGAACATGCAGGATATGTCTCTTTATCCCCCCCTACTAGCACCATCAGGAAAAAGGCATCTAAATCAGGAGAGGAAGAAGAAAAAGGGCAGGAGAGGAAGAGGGCACCTAAATCAGATCATCTATGTGCACTGTAAGTCCCTGTTCTTTCTGCCTTACACCGCTGACATGTGTGTTACATAACTGACCTGGGGCAAGCGGTGGCGAGTAACTCCTAACCCCTTCGTGACTGACGACGTACAGTGTACGTCGCACACCTGCTGGTACAAAAGCAAAATATTGACCTGTCATATTTCATATTTACCCGAGTAAAACAAAAAATATATTTTTACAGAAAACCCTTTTTGGAGTAAAAAATGTTTTAAAAATACCTTTACATAAAATAAAACATTTTTCTCAGTATGATAGAAGAGGCTGTGTAAAGCTGACCACACACATTGTAACCTGATTGTATAACCTCCTTTAGATTTATTAACAAGTATGCAGTGCAAGGGCCTGCCTGTCTTACAAATTGGGTAATTCAGGTGGGTCCTCAAATTACATAGTTTGGGTAAATCTAAAGGTGCCCATACACCCGACGATTATGGTACGATAATCGCGGGGGAACCAGCGATCGAACGATAATCGGCAGGTGTATGGGCAGCGTGCAGGTGTATGGGCAGCGTGCAACCGCATTTACTGTATGGTCGCATGACTTTCGTCTTACGAGCACGCTAGAAAACCCGCCGAAAATCATAGTTTTCGGCAGGTTGGTAGCGCGATCGCAAGACGAAAGCCGCACGGGGCAGTGTGCCCCGCTCAGCATTGCAATCGTTGGCAAGCCCTCCCCTCAGCAGACAGGGCTTGCGATGATGGCAAGTACGATCTGCCTGTCTAAGATGGGCAGGTCGTATGAAATTTTAATCACCTTACAACGAAAGTCGTGCGATGGTTGTAAGGTGTATGAGCGGCTTTAAACTGATTGTTCAGAGATTGTATGGTCAGATTGTAATGTATGGTGAGCATAAAGCTGGCCATACACGCTGCGATTTTCATTCGGGAATGTTTGTTGCTGCCAAGAACCCTCTTTCGATTGTAGCTCAAATAGCCCATCAAGCACAGACCAATGTAATTTCGATATTCAGTAAAAAAAATTGTTGGGTTTCCATCAACCGATGGATTATCGTTCAAAAGACCATTTGTGGACGATTTTGGAATGATAATCGATAGGTGTAATGGGCACCTTAAGACCCCATTCGCACTGAGCGACATGAAAATCGCGCGATTTTGAGCGACGTGTCGCGCAACTTTTTCCTATTGGGCTGTATGCAATCAGGAGCAATATCGCTCGAAATCACTCAAAAAAAAGGGTCATGCAGGAGCGACAAGCTACCAGCGAAGAGCGATATTGAGAGGCGAGATGTGAACAGCTCCATTGAAATGGATTGGAGAAGCTACATAGAGCGATATCGCTGCAAAAATCGCTCAGTGTGAATGGGGCCTTAGTCTCTTCTGTCATAGAGCCTCTAATCTGCCTATCAGCAATTTCTTGGCTTCTGTACAGCAACTTCCGTGCATACGCGCAGAAGATACCTTATTGGGGCTTGGTCAATCAAGCCCACACCCAGAAGACCTGGATGAAGATGTAAGCGCCAGCAAGGGAGGCGTGCGCTTACATTGCAGCATTGGAGGGGATTGCTTTGTGATAAATGCTCCTGGGGGGGGATTTAATAAAGACTTAACTTGCGCAATAACGCCAATAGTAATAGTCAGGCTTTCCGATCATGTGATTGGCCGTCAGATGACCAAGAGGCCAACCCATTCATAAATGCTGAGGAACCTGTAGATGACAGCTTGGTCACTGCGCCAGGAGTGTGTTCTTAGAACAGACCTGTAGTATATGCAGGCTGCTGCATATATGTGTATGGCTGGTGGGAAGATGGTAATAAAATCAATACCATAAATCAAACCGCAATAAAGACGAATGTGTGCATGTGCAACAACATACTAAAAGTTCGTTTTGGAGTTTCCATACACTTCCTGTCACCTCTGGCTGTGTTCTGGAAATATGACAGTCAACTCAGTCTCTGTCAGCTAGTGATAATGTCACCACACTTAACACCACAGCAGCCGAATCCCCTTCTCTATAATGCAGCAGCCGCACCATGTGCGCCCCGTGGTGTCACGCCTGACAGCGCTGGCAGGACACTTCTTCCACACAAGTGACAATGCTCCTGCGCTCCCGGCCATTGACACGCTATTTACTTTTTCCACCTCCCAGAGCGGGCATTGAGCTTGAAAGGGCGCCTGTCCCACAGCGCTGCCTCCACCAGCCCCGCACCGCTGGACCGAGAGGGCAGAGTGCGCCTGCGCAGGGCGGCAAATTTGGCGGGAGGGGGCGTGGCCAACGTGCTTTTGTTTAAGGGCAATCGCAATCTCTGTTTACAGTCAGCAGCCTTTCATCTTAAAGTTAACCTGTTCCCTCCTTCAAGCTCCTCCCCCCTATGGGCTCTCCTCCTTTTCTCGAGCTCCTGCACTTTCAGTGCACTGTATCCTCTGAGCTAGGAGCACAGTCACCTTTCGTTGCTCACCCTCCCCTGACCTTGATCTCAGGATGGCCAGGAGACTCAGGAACAGGTAAAAGTAATAAGTCAGAGAGGTGCCCAGCTATTCATTCTGCACATGGGACCAGCGTTGTCACCCAGCTGGATTCTCGACTTTACACTTGTTACAATGTTGCCGTGCTGTTTGAGATGCCCAGATGGATACAGAAGAGGAAGGCTGCTGAAGACGGTGGGATGTGCACGTTGTCAGGGCTCACCTACTGGCGGCGATCAGCTGTCCCCAGGACATTGCTAGCCACCTGTCAATGACAAGGGCTGGAGGTGCCAGCTAGATCAGGCTGATCTTACACTGTACAATCTGATTGGCCAATCTAGATCTAATAATGGTCTGCCTGATTGCATGCCAAGTTGATCGTTCAGCTTTGCCTAGTCCATTCTACATAGATCGCCCAATCAGCTTGTATAGTATATGCCCAGTGTAAGATTCTCCGGTGATGTCCCCGATCATCGCACACGTGGATCTAGCACAGAACGCTGTCCCTTTCCCGTAGGGGACTTTCCTCCTTATAAATAAACCGCACGGCACTCGCATCTTCTATGATGACCTGTGACCGTCATTGATGCTCATGGTATGAAAGTGCCGCCAGGGGAAACCCACCGAGGCATCCCAGCTGCTGCAGCGCTTCTTGCCTTCAACTTTGTAGCATTTGATGGCTCTGCATTGAGTGATCAGAGGGGGTAAATCTCACCTTGTGCATTGTTCTTATAGAAGGTTTGTTCATTGTTCTTATAGAAAGCTTGTGTATTGTTATAAAAGTTTGTGCAGTGTTCCTATAGACTGCATTGTGCAGTTTGTGCTTAAATGAAGTTTGATGTTCTTATAGACAGTTTGTGCGATGTTCTTAGCGGTGGTGGCACAGACTACATCTCCTACAGGGGATTTTCTGTCCGATCAAGCATCTACAAGGCTCATCGGTCCTAAAAATGTCATCTTGGGGCCATTGAATATAAAATCAATTGCTTTAGATCGTGCATTGCATTGTATGTCCATGTGCCAGCAGCGCACCGGCTCATCTCCTGTAACGTGTCATTGTTGGCTTGGACACCTCTGCACAGGAGATGATGATGATTTGTCTTCCAGCTCACTGTTCTTGGACCCATAGAGCCCCGATTAAAAACCACCATATGTGGTGGTGCCATTCTTGTAGACTGTTGCATGCTTTTTTGTCCTAGTAGTATCTGGCATAGGTTTTTATCATGTGTGCATGCATTATGGCTCCTGTATTTGCTGTATGTAGGTTTTTTATCTCGTGTGCTTTCATTTTGGCTCCTATATTTGCTGTATACAGGTTTTTCATCATCATGTGTGCTTGCATTATGGCTCATGTGTTTGCTGTATATAGGTTTTTCATCATCATGTGTGCTTTTATTTTGGCTCCTGTATTTGCTGTATACATGTTTTTCATCATCATGTGTGCATGCATTATGGCTCATGTGTTTGCTGTATATAGGTTTTTCATCATCATGTGTGCTTTTATTTTGGCTCCTGTATTTGCTGTATACATGTTTTTCATCATCATGTGTGCATGCATTATGGCTCATGTGTTTGCTGTATACAGGTTTTCCATCATGTGTGCATGCATTATGGCTCCTGTATTTGCTGTATATAGGTTTTTCATCATGTGTGCTTTTTTTTTTTTATTATGGCTCCTGTAGTTGCTGTATTACTGGAAAGAGGAATATTAGTTATCTGTCTACTGCATGCATGTATTTCTATACTGATAGCATAGTTGATGTATAATTCAGTTTAATCTGCTTTAAAGCTCTTGTACTTTGTTGAGCTACAAGCTGCACAGTGCTCAGGTGTGAACAGACCCGTTGAGAATAATGGGATTCTTTGTCTTGAGCATTGTCGCACTTTGGGAATCGTGTACAGAAATGCTCAGGTGTGAATGGTGTCTTTAGGAAAAAGAAAAATAACACTTTGCCCCTGGTGCAGCTGGACTCATTGTGGACTTGAACTTGTTCCTGCTGTTTGTAGGTCTACTAAAACCAGTTCTGTTACCTGCTCATTAATGGTATCTGCAGGGCTCAGATATTCTATGCTAGCTTACAATATGTGATTATAAGGTCAATGCAGTTTGTCTGTCAATAGGAACAGTGCAAGTGGACGCATTTTGATTAGTAAATGCATTGGACGTCATCTAACGCGGCAGGGGTTAATTACCCCTACATTGGCGTTGTCAGCTCTCCGCTTAGTATATTTGTCTTGGCCTATTTGTAAAAGCGGCAAAACAGCCCCCACCCATCTGCCCATCTATCTTCCCTTTCACCTCTTAGACCATTGCATAACCGAGTTCCTTCCAAACTTATAACTTACTGCTTACCTTAGTCTAACCACAGTCTGATGAAACTGCTCAAAATGTTTAACCCGCTCTTACGATGGTAGTACTGGATGAACTCTTTTACCATGCATGTGCCATCACCTGTCTTTGGATTGTATCTTTTTGGTAACTTACTCTATAGATACTTGCACTATCAAGACAGATGATCTCTCTTTCACAGGGTAGTTTCATTTGACATCATCTCTTTCCATAGAGAGACATCTGTTATAAAACTTTACACTTGTAACCAAGCTTAGGGTATCTTTGAAACAACTTGAATTAGTTTCCTGTCTGAAAATGTGCCCCGCTTTATTCATGAAACTTGTATCAGTACCCAGGTACAGGACTTGTGCGACCAGGCTGTTTAATCGGTTCTTAGACGCTGCTTTTTGCATTTTAACTTTTTGACAGGCAGCTTGCAATTGCATGAGAACACTAACATTTTCCTTTCACTTAAATACTGCTGATGGGGAAACCCCTTAGTCATAAATTAGGCTGTCCTAGTAATTCTAAAAGAACAGCAATAGCTATTTTGGAAGGGGTCTGAAGTAGAACAAGCATGATGTACAAGGACATCACTGCAAAAGTAAAACTCTGCTTTTTTGACTTGCAACTTGTAGGCTTTGTAGCACTCCTGTTAAAAAAAAAAAAATATGTTTTTGTCTTCTTGCCCATGAACTGCGGGTGTGTTGGCAATTGTGTTTGTTTACAAAACAACGTGTTAGTCGTGGCTTTTAGCCAGATACATATTTCGAAAAGGGATCTCATAGATCTGCATGACTGTACCTCATTAGTGTCATGAGGCCATTTAATGTATGGCTTCACTTTTGATCTGGTCATGGTAAGGCTGTGCTAAAAGGAGATGCTTTTGGGTAGCTATACCAAGCCATGTAAAAAGTTGGAGAGGTTTGTAAATTAATGGAAATGTTTAATTTAAGGTAAATGGCAACACACATATTTGTAAACATGTGCACATCCATCAGTTTGTTTGGAATATAGCAGGTCCAATTTGGTGCTGTGATTTGAACAAGGACTTCTACTGCCTTTGGTGGAAGATCTATCTGTCAATATGCAGCTTTTCTCAAAGCTTCTACATTTTCTTGAAATAGTTTGCAGAGTATAAAAAAATGGAAAGTTGTCCTGAGTATATATAAATCCTGCACAAAAGGTCAGATTGAAAGCTCCTTCCTTCACTCACAAGAAGGCGAAGACAAAAGTTTGGGTTGTCTCCAAAGAGTCACAAATGCTGGAGTATTTCATAAAGTAGATAAAGAATCTCAAGGCCTGCTTGTGTAAATGACACACAATATCAGGTTCTTTTTACTATCCTTAGACATTCAAAGCTTATTTTGACTTTATTGGTGGAAAGGTTGCCAAATGTGCAATTTGCCACTCATCTGACAGCAAGAGCAGGTCTGAACATGTAGAGCACTGAGCAGTCTGCCAGGACCTTTCTCTTGTATCTGTGGATACCAAAAACAGTAGAACCTGTTCAGAGTATCAGACCAGCAAAGTAGCGTGCAAAATCTTGTTGTGCAAGGTTTCCAGATTTTCAGGTGAAACTTCCTCTTTTAATGTGATTTTGTAACAGGAGAATGATGAGAGAAGGTAAAAAAAATAAAAAAAATACATTGCTGAAGTGATTCATGTGTCTCTCTACAGCTTATACAGCTCAGAGGAAGAAGATGAGGACATAGAAATGTACGAACATGATTATGATGGCATGCTTTCGAAAGGAAAGCGGCATATGGGCAAGACGCGATGGACACGCGAAGAGGTAAGTGTTTGATGATCACTAGTAAAGCTTTACTGTTTGCTCTGAGATTGTTTTATATACTTCAGGGACTCTATTCCTTCATTGACTTACTAAGGCATCCAAGTTCCAGGTTTGTTATAGAGTGGTTGCTTAGAGAGGGACAGGGAGTGACCTATTATTTTTATGTTAACTGGCAGCTAGTCCTAAGAGCTGTTTGCTTACTGATGTAATGTTATGTTTAGTTATACAAAACTGAAGAGCAGTCTACGTTTATACCAGTTATACTACATTCAGATATTATGCACTTCTTTAATGGCTTTTTTTGCACATTATGCACTAAGGTCTTGAATAGCTTTGAATGTAAGTCAATGTGGTATGTGCTACTGGTACAGTGAATAACAAATTTGGGGAGGACCCTTGGTACAGCAAGAAGATTTCTGATATTTTACTATAATACTGGGATAATAATACACGCTCACATTTATTTTCCTTTGCTACAGGATGAAAAGCTGAAGAAATTAGTAGAACAGAATGGCACAGAGGATTGGAAGGTTATTGCTAGTTTCCTTCCGGTAAGTCTGCCAACTCGTATCTACAAGTACGAAGAACACTGATCAATATACAGTACATACATCAGTACATTTAAAACGGGTAAAATGTCTTTGTATACAAATGAATTAACTCTGATCTCCCTTTATTTCTATCACCCAAAGAACCGGACAGATGTTCAGTGCCAGCATCGATGGCAGAAGGTTTTAAACCCTGAACTTATTAAGGGACCGTGGACCAAAGAAGAAGACCAGCGGGTAAGCCATCTACAATGTTTTTACTCCGTTTTGGACTGATTGAGGCACTTACAATTAGTTTGTTCTTTGTGTTAAAATAAAGCCCAAGTACAGGCCAGTCATTTCTCTTAGTTTGGAATAGAGTGCGTAAAGGTTAGAACCTCTGTCAGTTATTTATTGCTGTCCTCATTCCCATTTGGAAGGTCTACCACCCTTCAGTCTTGTAGACCACATATGATGTTCAGTGAATGCTCCCAAATGACTATGAGGACTGTAATAAAAGCTGAAAGCAGTTCTAACCCTTTTCCACTCCATTAAAACAAGCTCTATAATGCCATTGAAAAGAGTTCCCATTCTTCTTGTCTTTGCTAACACACCGAAAATTAGGAAAACTCCTCAGTGGGGACACGAGTGACCATAAAAACGCTCTTCCAGAACTAAATTAAACCTTTTTACTTTGCCTTTTAGTCTATTTTAGTATAAAGTATATTTTAGTCGTAATGTAATATTTTAAACCTTGATATGCATACAAGGAGCACAGTTTGCCTTCTTGGTATAGTTTTTCATCCAGCCAATGTAGACCATTCTACCATATTTCCTTCTGTCAGTAATGTGGCGGTCTGAGGAACTCTGCACGAGAACTATTCCCAAATACACTCACTGCAGGTTTCTTGTAGATGTAAAACTAATATACACTTTCACTCAGCCCCCAGTCACATTCCAACCTGCCTCTGTAAATGTGGTTGGTGAAACAGAAAGCTACACAGCACAGTTTTCAATTACACTCTCAAGTGACCTTTTGAGTTGGTCTTTGGACCCTAGATGTAGTGGCTTAAAGAAAGTCCAGTTTTTAGCAAACGTAATGGATCTGCTGACTTATGTTGACACAAATTTGCATTATTCGCTCATTGATTGGTTTCTCTTCTTGCCTGAAATTGCTCTTTAAATACAATAAAAAAGAAAAGCGTTTGTATAATTCAGCATATACAAATTATATTTCACCAGTCTCAGTGTTCCCCTGTAAATATGGAATGCTTGTTATTCGTTATTTACCAGTGTTACCAATTCTTCTATTTCTTTAGGTAATAGAACTAGTACAGAAGTATGGCCCCAAACGCTGGTCTGTCATTGCCAAGCACTTGAAAGGGAGAATTGGCAAGCAGTGCAGAGAGAGATGGCACAATCATCTGAATCCAGAAGTGAAGAAGACCTCCTGGACAGAACAAGAGGACAGAATAATCTTTGAGGCACACAAGCGCCTTGGAAATAGATGGGCAGAAATTGCCAAGCTTCTTCCTGGGAGGTAATAGAACAGGCATCACCATAAACATTCTTTGGCTTAGCCATAGATTCAAATCGTATTGCTGCATGTTTTTCCAATGTTTTCCCTTTTTTTTTTTTTTTTTTTTTCTATTCTCGGGCTTGTTTATAGGCATACAAAATTTTGTTTTGAGGACTTTCATTTACTGTTTAATACATTTTTATTGTTGCAAACCTAATCCACTGGAACCCAGTAAAATGTCTTATTACTTTAAACATTCACTTAGGGAGCACAGCATGCTTTAATTAAAAAGAAAATGTTGTGTATGACTCAGAACTGTATGTTAGCCTGCTTAAAGAGAAGCTCCAAGTTTAGGGATCTCTCGACGATAGTGTAATTAAAGTGTATCCAAACACAAAAACAAATATGTTATATTGCAGCTTACCAGTCCTTAGATATAGTGGATGCATAAGCTTACTTTTTCCAGACTTTTTTCTTTTTACCTAGTTATTTGGGGAATAGCACACTTTCTCTGGGTAGCTACATTCACTCCTCCACTGTATCTGCAGAGGGAGCCATGGTTGCCACCAAGGCTGGACTTCAAACATGTCTGCCATTGTTCTTTTCCATTACATGGATGATGATTATGATGGGAGTATTAGTTTACAGAGGACAGATTAGATTTTTTTTTTTCTGCTTTTAGCTCAGCTCATGGCAAGTGAAAAGAACACTGTATTTCTAGCAGGGTTAATAGGCTTTTCTGTACTTGTTGAATATCTTTAGCCTGATAAATAAAAAACGAATGCAGCCACAACATCTACGGACCGGTTAGGTGCATTATATGACCTTTTTGTTATGGCGTTTAGTTCTTCAAGTGTATACAATTACCTCTGTTTCTCCGAATTTTAGACCTAAACATATCTGAATTAAAGGAACAGAGGTAAGTGTAGTGCGTGTGCGTACACTTACATCGAACCATTTAGAGATCTTTAAAGCAGAACTCCAGGCAAAGTTTTTTTGTTTTTAGAATGTGCTGAGTAACAAATGGTTAACTCTCATGAGGTGTATGCCACATACAGGATTGCTGCCATTTCCTAATCATTGACACTTTCATTGATGCTTGGTAGTATAGCTCTGGCAATACTTCTGGCATAGCATTTATGAGAGCTGTGTCTCTCATACACAGAAGCCATACTGTTGTTGATTCACCCCTCTTCTCACTTTCTCCATTCACAGAATGCCTTGTACTATGTAAACCATTCATAAAATACAAAGTATTCTGTGAATGGATAAGGGAAGAGGAGGGGTGGATAAACAACAGTATGGCTTCTGTGTTCGAGAGCCGCAGTTCTGGCAGTATAGTGACAGCTATACTATCCAGCATCAATTAAAGTTTTAATAACATAGAAATGACATAGATCCTGGAGGTAGCATACACCTCAGAGAGAAGTACAGTATATGATACACAGCACATTTTAATAAAAAAGATTTGCCTGGAGTTCTGCTGTAAAATGTATTAAGTCCTGATTTTGACCACTCTCATCATGTAGCTTTCTTTTATAAAGGTCCTTTTTTAATATAATTTCTATTCTATGGTAACGTTTTTAAATTATTATTCTATATTGGGCAGAACGGATAATGCTATCAAGAACCACTGGAATTCTACTATGCGGCGCAAGGTCGAACAGGAAGGTTATCTGCAGGAATCATCCAAAACCAACCAGGCTTCTGTAGCCACAAGCTTTACAAAAAACCCCTTAATGGCCTTTACCACTCACACTGCACCTTCTATACAGCTTGCTCAAAGCAGCCACGTCCCAAGTTTCTACTACCATCTGCCTGAGCCACCAAATGTAAGCAGCGTGTGCAATTACCCACATCCTTGGATAGCAGTGTTTTCATTTAAATATTTTGGTGGTTAGCATTTTAATACAGCCTGTTTTATAAAGGTTCATTATTAAAGAGCTTTGTGTGATATAGGCAGCATTTATTTCATTCAGTCCAGCTGATCGTATTCAGTTTATTAAAAAAATTACCCGCATTTCCATTTTCAAAATAAGACTAGCGTGTTCCATGATTCATTTAAGGGTTCAGTCAGACTTGCACATATTTTCACATTTGTTTTTATTTCAACTTGTGTTGCATGGAGCGCTCAGTCATTTTCAATCAGCTCTCAATGTGTGTCAGCAGACCAAAATACTGCTGACTTGTTTTTTTTCCCCAGCACCTCTCCGGGCAATCAATGTGTTTATTATTGTGTGCTGAGGGTAAGGAGCATTTGTTTTGCTCGTGCATTCGCATTAGGTGCCATTTAATATGATTAGCATTGACCACACTCTACAATGCACCTGCACAACTGCAAATGCTGCCTTAATGACATCCAAAACAATTTTTTATATGCGTCATTAAAATGTGCTTGTAAGTTTGAAAATTGTAACTTTCAGGTTGCATTAACATATGAAGGACATTTATAAGCCAGCCTATAAATTAAGACTTTAAGACTGGAGATGCAAATCTTGGTCAAATTATTGGTTTGGTGGCAACAGTGCTTCATCAATATCATAAAGGCTTTTTCAAAAGACTGAGGTAAAATCCCACCTCATTTGAATATGTGGAGGACTAATGCAAACACCTATGCAAACGTTTTATTTATGATTATAGGGGGAGTTTTTTGCCTACTTGACAGTGGAACCACTCCTATTGTGTAGAAACAATGGGTGCTGTGTAGAATATTTCCAAAGGCCCCCACTTAGTAGTTTGAAAGAATAGTATGATTCAACTTATATATGCAAATAATGGAGACCTAACAAACAACATGGAAAACAATAACATGCATAATAAAAACTGGTACTAGAGTGCATTTAAGTACTGTTGTATGAAATGACCTGCTTTATTGTCTCAACTCCTCTTCTTGTTCTCTATTCACAGGCACCTTATCCTGTAGCACTTCATGTAAATATAGTCAACGTCCCTCAACCAGCAACTTCTGCTGTCCAGGTACTTTTTCCTACAAGTCATTTATTAAAAATGAGTATTTATGGATGACATTTATTAGATATGTTGTCTTTTCTCTCTTTAGTAGATTGTAGAGTACTTACATGTTATCTAACTATGTGGAACAACTTGTGTGGATATCATATTTGCACATTATGTTTAAGTTGATGCCTATGAGCTTGTTGTTTTTACTAGTCTTAGAGCTTCCACACAGGAGCTAATTTGTGGTCACTGTGAAAACACACATATAGCAAAAGGAAAAGCCAGGGAAAGGGGAAGTAATGACTTAGCAAGAATAGTGGAGTCATTTCTAGTGTGTGCTATTGTTATCACAGATTATAGGTTTGGGCAGAGATCAGTTTGAAATGGAACTTGCTGAAAACAATGTAAACACAATCCAGCATTTTTTCACTTATTAAATTACAGAATTTTGTCTGAACTTACTTAGGCTGCCCATAGATAACTCCCCGAGGGTGGCATCATGGAGGCAATTGCTGTCCTTGAACAAGTTGTTGCCATACTGGGACTTACACTAATTCTGACCCGATTGTGACCCCAGGACATGTATGCTGAGGGTGGGAAGGCTTTGGACCTCATTCGATGGGAGATTTTCCAACAATATAGAAATTTTGTAAAATAAAAATGTGCAACTGGTAGCCTAAACTGCTGATTAGTAACCCCTAGTTGGACAGAAGTAGCTCAACAAGACTTTCATAGCCTTCTAACACCTGACTAATGTCAACCAGTTAATTGTCTTCTTGGTTTGTAATTTTTTTTGTTATTTTCAGAGACAATATAATGATGAAGATCCAGAAAAAGAAAAGAGGATAAAAGAATTGGAGTTACTACTTATGTCAACGGAAAATGAACTGAATGGACGTAACGCAATACCAGTAAGAGCAGGCTCACTCATGCCAGGTCTTCCAGACTATCTGAAATCCAAATGGATTAAGACGTCTAGATATAAAAAAAAAAAAATATGCACCGCTGTCCAGCAAAACTGCATATACCTTTTATTTTGTGTAAATTAATCAGTTTTAGGGATTTCTCACACAATTTATAATTCTGTGGCTGCTGTGGGAATGGGCCAATATTGAATGTTCTTAGGGTATCCTCTCTTCTGGTTAAATGTTCTTAGGGTGTTTTCTAATAGGATCAAATGCCCTTAGGGTAATTTAATTTCTAATTGTCTGTTATTGGGCTGTTTTCCCTTAGAATGAAATGTTCTTGGGTTATTTTCTCTATTAGAATTGAATGTTTTCAGAATGTTTTGGATCCAGTACTGCTTATATTTGACAGAGAAAGACATACAATAACATGTATATTTATTAACACATTCTAATTACATTCAAATTTGACAACAATAGAACAAATTATTTGTGACGTTTTCATGAATGTGATACATTCGCACCTATATTGTGCGAAAGTTGAGTATATTCTTTAAATAGACCCCTAAGTGTTCAGCATATTGATCACATGCCTTTGTCATTCTGTCCTTCTTTTAACAAAGATTAGATCTCACACATATTCGTAAGTTTTACGGACGTGCACCATTAGACACATTAAAATAGTACCTTTAGGGGCTAATGTAGAGTAGTGTGGTTTAGCATTTAGTTACACATGTACATTTTTATAGGTTGTTCATGCTAGTCTTATCATAGTATAAATATTCTATATCCTGTATTAAAGCAGTTGTAGCCTGTGAAAACAGCATGAATAACAAGAGGATGAGGATCCTGCTGTTTCTTATGAGGGTGTCAGGACCAGTCCAAGCTATTTTTCTATGGGACCTAGTTTTTGGTTAAAGTAGAACACCCTAGCTGATTAAAGGTTCTCACTTTTTAATGGTTATTGTTTTTTAAAACTGTACAGGGACTTTGCTGCATGAACAGATCTGTAGTATGAAATAGTCATTGCATGATGACACAACACATAGCAGTGTATTTCAGGCTGGCTACTACATTGATGAAAGGAAACATCTTGACAACTGTTTCAGAAGTGCAAGTACTTTAGATGATGCAACAGCTTTTATCTGGCCCGTAGCTCTGTGTGAGACACCTTGAGCAATTTCATTCTAAGTTCCTTCTTTTTTTTTTCCATCTCCTTTTGTAAAACACAGAACCATGCAGAAGAATATCCAGTTTGGCAGAGCACAACGATCGCTGACAACTCTAGGCCCCATGGTAACAGTGCTCCTGCTTCTTGCCTTGGGGAACCCCATCACTGTACACCTTCTCCTCCAGTAGACCATGGTTGCCTGCCAGAAGAAAGTGCTTCACCAGCTAGGTGCTTTGGTGTAAATCTGTTAATACAGATGAAGGATATGCCTGAATACAATGATACTTTGCAATATATCGATTCTGTAAGTAATCCAAACATTTCATAGATCACGTAAAATTGACACAGCATTAGAACTCTTAATATTCATGTTCATGAGGAGAGCACATACTCTACTAATGTCATTTTTGTGTGCCACAAAATTTCAATTGCTTTTGTAATTTTGTTTGCACTACAGCCTGTTTAGTAAAGCCAAGAGTTCAGTTGCACCTTAGTTCAGAAAGCAATGCCAATTGGCCACTGATTTGTATTCAAAATAATTCACTGTACTTTTAAGTGTACCTGACCTAAATAAATAAATAAAACTGTTAGCTATCTTGCAGACCGTATATTAAAGTAGGCAGTACTTCCTGTTAAAATAATCCTTTTCACAGTGCCACCGTGGCCTGCAGATTTTCCTATGCAAATCACCATTTTCTGAACATTAGTATGTTCATAGACATATGCCAATAGGTCACTCAGACACCGAGCTCTTTCCAGTGGCTTGCATACCTACTCTCCCCACACCCCTGAAGTCAGTATTATTCTGTAGGGCTCTGATGGAACTGTAGTGAGAATTATTGTAATGCAGAAAGTAAGGCCTTGCACTGTATGTTGCCAACTATCTGCAAGCTAGATAGTAGTTATTTTTCTGGTACTGGTTTACTTTAAGTATCCAGTGTACGACCGCATCTTTGTATATACTTATCCTGCAGAATGTGGTTTCTTGGTTATTGTTTATTTCCTTTTCTTTTTCAAGCTTAAAGCTGCATGTTGTTTGTTTATTAATGCTTTGTTCTTTGATGGACATACTATAATGAATTCCATCTTATAAAGCAATACTAAATGTAATATTTTTTATTTTTTTTTAGTTAAGAGAATTGGAGAGCATAAACCTTAGTTATTAGGTAGCCAGAAAAAAAGTTGTAGGTCCTTAAATTATGAGTATGGTGGAGAAGTTTTGCTCAGCCTAATTAAAGAAACATAAAAGCTTTTAAATATTGGATCAGCCATTGCTGACTTCTGTTTAAAAAGTGGCAGCTTGGGAATGGTCATCACGATCTTGCCTGAACTACTTATTGGATTGCTGACCCGGGTCAAGCTTGCAGCTAGTTAAGTCTGAACTTCCTTTGTGCACACTTGTTCTAGGTCAGTCACTTACTAGATAGTGAAGCTAGGATCAGGGCAACAGCTTGCACCTTTCAAAAACAAGTCAGTGATGGTAGCTCCCATTGTTTTATCGTCACAGGATTACTGTCGGCAATTTAGCACTTTTTGAGAGCCAAGTACTTCCTGGTACAGCTCAGTTTGTTTCAGGTATCCCTTGGTGCATGTAATTTTATTTATTTTACCCTCAAATTGTGCTCATGCTCTCCAGCCTGTACAATAGTTGTTTTAAAAACATAATTATATTAATTTCAATATGATTTGGTAAAACTTTAGCCTTTGTTATATAAGTGTTTGAGCACGAAAAGATACACACTTGTACCCTGGGATACTGGTTGAGAAAATGTGTGATAGATTGGGGTTGATTTACTAACCTTATAAACACACCACGAACATGTATACACCTCTGTAGTGTGTTCCCTCCCAGCATGATCTATGGGTGGAATCTAAACACCTTTGTAGTGTGTACACACCCAGGAGGTGTGTTGTGCAAAGCCAAGCATGAATTGCAAGGTGATGTTGTGTAAATTAGCTCTACATTGTGTTGCTTGCGTTGATGAATGCAGGAATGTAAATGCATGAGCTAACCATTTTTGTCTAAACTGTGAAGCAGCATTATATATGCATCATGTGCATGATTTTTCCATATATGGCATTAGTGGAAATATGCTTTTAGAGACTTTTTGGTTGATAAATACGTTTTGCTGTGTGAAAATCACACGCACCTAGTGCGTGCGTGTGTTTAGGTTAGTAAATCACCCCCATTATGTAGCTGTTTTGCAGCAATGTATACACAGTATGTAAATGAAAATGATTTATCTATACATTCTTCTTCTTTAAATGTGTAAGTAGTAATGTTCCTTTGCGGAAGCATTTAAGGTGGCACCTTGCATTATGTTAAAGTTGCGTGCCTCCTACATTGTTTCAGGATTCTTCTTCATGGAGTGAAGTCAACAGTTTTGAAAGCAGTGAGAAAGCAGATTCCTCAAACAGCAGTTCCCCCTCAGGCCGAGACTCCGAGCCTCCCAAGGAGATGGGCGGCCTGTGCGGCCCTGGGGCTGAATCTGATACAGACATAGGCACAACCATGCTCTGTATGGGTTCTCCCACTTCGCCCAGTTCCCTAGATTGCTCAAAGTGCAGCCAGTCGCCGTTGATCGTCCTGTGCAAAAAGAGAGGGCGTCTCAGTTGCCTAACCAGTGGAGAGAGTGGTCTCTCCCCAATCAAAAGCCTGCCCTTCTCTCCCTCTCAGGTAGATGAAGACTTCTGCGAAATTCTCACTAATTCTCATCAAAGAATTAACAATATAGAAACTAAATGTTTGGAAACAATGACTAATTCCTCACACACCCATTGATTTCACTTTGTGATTAAATCACTCTTAAACATGGAGCTCTGAAATTAGTTTACCAGTAACACTAACTGGTGTTTTTGTTTGGCACTCTGGAGGAGGCTTGCTGGTGCTTTCCGTCTGTTTGCTCTTGCACTTAATATCTTTGGTTCTGTACCACTTTTCTGAATACTCTGATTCTTTCCACAACTCTATACTTAGTGTGCTGGTTAGTATTATGGCAAGGTGGTCACAGACTTGCTATATGTTTTAATGCTAAATTTATTTCTTTGAACAATATAGTATTTTAATCACTGTGACTTCTCTTGGCAGTTCTTAAACCCAGTGTCGGCACATGAGGGGATGGACATCGAACAACCCACTCTAAGCTCCACCCCACTGTGTTCTTCCCACAAGACCCCCATCACCACACCACTTCACCGAGACCACACACTGCGACTACAGAAAGAAAATCACATGTAAGTTATTTTTGCTTACATGTACTCTATGGCCAAAGGTATGTGGACACCCCTCCAAATTATTGAGTTCAGGTGTTTCTAGTAAAAGGTTTTGCCAGTCACATGACCAAAAGTCAAGTTAGAGCAGAACCTTCACAGCCAAGGAAGGTGTCATCTTAGCCTTTATTTGGATTGCAGTTGCCATGGTGCTGCAGATGTGATCAGCCATGACACCAGCCATCTGAGGAAAGTTTGGTTGAAAGATCATTTAAAAAAACACCGGCAACCTTGACAGTTGGCATGCCTTGAAAATGTAACTGTTTTGGTGGGTTTAGTTCCGCTTTAACATTTGAGTATAGCTCAACTTTAGTAGTATGTTTATGTGGCAATTCTATTGGTTTACCTGGAATTTATTTATTTATTTTGCGTGTGGTCAATATCAATCACTTAATTTCCACTACACAAATTGATTTTCGATAACTGTGAACAGATTGGTCATATTGCTAAAAAACTGAAGGTAGCATATGTGGTTAGCATTTTTTAAGTAGCTATCTGAACAGGTTTGTTTTAATCTTTTTATCTGCACAGTTTTAGAGCTATCCTTGATTCCATACTGTAAAAAATTTCACATTTATGTTGGCCCTTTTGTCATTTACAGTCTTAGAACACCAGCCATAAAACGATCAATTTTGGACAGCACTCCAAGAACGCCCACTCCTTTTAAAAACGCTTTAGCAGCTCAGGAGTTCAAATATGGGCCACTGAAACTTTCGGTAAGTCAATTATAGGGCTAGTTTGTTCAGGTACAGAAAGTAGGCGGAATGTACTTCAGTGCTCACCAAAGTTTCTCTTACATTCTTTCAGCATCACACCCCCTCGCACCTTGCAGAAGACCTTCAGGAAGTCATTAAACAGGAGTCTAATGAGTCTGGCATTGTACCCGAGTTCCATGACACAGAGGAACCTCTATTAAAGAAAATTAAGCAAGAGGTAATCAAGTAGATCTAAACACAGGGTTCCACATATCGTATACTTCAGAATACCGCTGCGTTTTGATCCATGAAATTGAGCTGGAAAATGTATTACAGCCCATGTCATTTACCAGCATGTTAAAAGTAAAAACTGAATCACATTTTTTGTAGAATAGTGAAAAGGTAGCCTGCCACTTCTCTATGTGCAGCGTAGATTCAGTCATTTCAAAAAAATCGTACTTTGCTGCATTTCAAGGGATTTTAAGTTTTGATAGCAAATGTAATTTTTACTGAAGTTAATATGTGTACGTAGAATGTTAGCTATTGACTTCAAAAGAGATCCAGTAAATGTGTTGCAGTATGTTAAAATTAACTTGCCACAAAGTAATATCTGTGTTAGAAACTTCACATTAAGACTGTCACATGCTAGCTCCAAAGCATTAAATATACCATCTATCAATTTCACTTGTGTGACATCACTGCCCCTGAAGATCTAGAGTTTGGCAATCGTTAGTCTGAGACTTCTCGTATATTTTCTCATATAGTTTTTCTTCATGGTGGGTCTCATTTAGCTTTTAATTTTAGATTTCCTGAAAGCTGCGTTTATTAAAATAATACAGCTATAATTATTCCCCATTCGAATTCGAATATTTGCTATAAAAACTGGGCAAAACAGTTATGTCTCTTGTCACTTGTTAAAGGAAACCTGTCGTAAGAGAAATATGTAGGCTGTCTAGCTGACTTCTTTAAAAAAAAATGTTACTTGCCTGACTGTCGTGCTGATGTATTATCTTTATTAATGTTTGTGTTATGCAAGTTATCAAAACCAGACACGGCAGGGGTGTTGCATTTTCAAGAAGGATGCAGCAATAACAGCCTACACATTTCTCTAATGGCAGGTATTCTTGGATGTGTTGCCAATTATGCAAAAATCTGATTTCCAGCGTTTATTTCCACTTTGTTTAACTGCAGAGTACTGCCATCATTGCGTGGATATCATATTGACATACGTGGTATAATTTGTTGTTTTCAGGTGGAGTCACCAACTCATAAGATGGGAAACTTCTACTGGGAACATGACAACCTCACAACTCAGCTATTTGCTCAGCACAATATTCTTGAAGATACTCCAGTAAGTCAGCACTTTAGTGTCATTGGGGTTGATTTACTAACCTTATAAACACGCCACGAACAAGTATACACCTTTGTAGTGTGTTCCCTCCCAGCATAATCTATTGGTGGAATCTAGACACCTTTGTAGTGTGTACACACCCAGCAGGTGTGTTGTGCAAAGCCCTGCATGAATTGCAAGGTGATGTTGTGTAAATTAGCTCTACATTGTGTTGCTTGCGTTGATGAATGCAGGAATGTAAATGCATGAGCTAACCATTTTTGTCTAAACTGTGAAGCAGCATTATATATGCATCATGTGCATGATTTTTCCATATATGGCATTAGTGGAAATATGCTTTTAGAGACTTTTTGGTTGATAAATACGTTTTGCTGTGTAAAAATCACACGCACCTAGTGCGTGTGTTTAGGTTAGTAAATCACCCCTATTGTCTCACCTCATTACCATAGACAAACCACAGCTTCACACAGGCAGAAAAGGCAATGAATATGAACTGAGAGTTTTTTTCATGGTTCAGAAAGTAGATGGCATGTTATGTGCACCTTCCCACATCAAACACTTGTGGATTTACTCTAACGGAGTGGGCCTGTGCGCTCCTTAACGTGTATCCAAATAAAACATGTTTGGTGGTGTTTGTTCTGGTGACCACTGGCACCGGGACTAAAAGGGCAATTCCAAAATTGGAAGTTTTATGCTGGAAAAGGAATAGAAGGGAGATCCTTCAGCGGGGACACTTCTTGTCACAGTTGTCTAACAGAGGATTTCCTTACCTTGTAGAAATTAGGATAATAAAAATCTCCCTAACACACAAAAAAACTTGACAGGAAATTTTAACCATTCCCTAAAATTATCCAAAACTAAAGGAAGGTTTTGTCTTTTGATATACTTATACTCTAACATAATAACTTATTTTGCATTGTGAAGACAGACATGCCATTAAGTAAGTCTGTTATTATTTATTTATAATATTATTATTTTATTTATATTATGTATTTTATTTTAGTTTTTGTTGCCACTGGTGGGTTGAATACCCCCCTTACGTTTTTTGTGGCCTCCTATATTAGGGTCTCCTATATTAGGATCTCCTATAACGTGGCCATAGCATACTTCAATGAAGGACATCTTATCATGCCAAATAATTGTAAAACCTGTCAGTGAAAGTATGAAGTACTTGTAAAAGCAATAGCAAGTGGCCAGAGCTGGAAACATCAAAAACTGTAATGTCACTTTTGAGCAGACAATTGCTTAAAAAAAAAAAGAAATAAATGTAGTCCATCCATTCTAATGTTAAGCAATCAATCAATCAATCTCAATTTCACTTTTTTCAGAATCTTCTTACCAGCTCTTTGCTGATGAAACCAATGTCTGATAAAGAGGATCACCGACTGAGGTCTTTTACTGCTCAAAGAAATAGAATATTTCCAAACCCATTACAGGTAATTTGTTACTATTATAACTGAATGCTGACATAGTGACCCATTAGTCATTTTTATCTGTTGTGATGTTACAGGATATTGATTTGCTGCTTGTTCATTTTGCTCATTGATTGCTGATATCTGTGTCACATTACTTGCATAGAATAACTGGTGATGCAATAATCTTTGAAACATGGGAACTGCACTTATGAAAGAGCATTGCTGCTGCTTGTTAAAATCCACAAAATGTTTATTCAGCTCATAAAATGATTTGTTAGACGGTGGAATCATTCAGGAGCTTAATTGAGAGCCTGAAAAATATAAGTACATGCATACCATTGGAAATTCTGCATGAACTAAACATTTGGCAAAAGTCTACTTACTTTTGGGCTGTTTTATTGAAATTACAAAGTGCTGTTACATTACTGAAGGCATCGGTAGAGTTTATATTTTAGCCATAGGATAATGATAATAATTTCTTCAGGCTGGAGCACTTTACCAATAGTATGTGTAACATACTTAATCAGTCATTAAATGCCCACCTCATGCTTTGCACAGTTTGTAAAACTGAACCAGATCTGGTCGCATTTATATAAATGTGTGAATCGCCATGGCTGACTTTGCTGTCGCAATTATTCTTCCTTCAATAATTTGTGGAACTCAAAAGAAACATATTTAGGACAATCCTTATGACAAGACATCAGTGAATCAGAAGTGTTTGCCTTGTAAGAACCTTACAATAGCTATCCAAGATCTATATGTTATTCATCTTGGGTAATAGAAAGTGAAAAGTGCTTAGAAAAGTTTACATGACTTGTAACACAGATGTGATTAGGAACAAATTGTCCAGGTTTCACACAGATTGACAGGGTTGAGTCACTATGTTTACTTAATAAATCATAGGAGGCTATTGATGTTTATTTTTATTGACAATGGATGGGTATGCAAAGTCATTGTGAACAAAAATGCAGGCAAGTTTTCAGAAGTTTTATGTAGGTGTTTAAGGGATATATGCAAACACTGATATGCTTGTAAAGCAATCCTGTAGGTATATGCCGGCTAGGCATTAACCATTTAGATTAGGAATGCATGTCGCACAGAGCGTTACTGTATATCAATTCTCGCTTTCTCTACACCAATGTATCCGAGATAGAAAGTGAGGCTAAATCCAAAATTTACGAGTGAAACTTCCGATTGCAGAGTCAAGCTAACAGGTTTCCTCCAATCATTAGCCTTATGTACCCGACATCAGCTGATGCTGCGGAGAGCGTGTAGCCAGTGCCCAGATGCAACAGGGAGCCCATAAAAATGTCAAAACAAAAAAAAATACCGGTACCAGTAAGCGGCTGTCTTACTCTGCAAAATTTAAACCGGATGTAATCAGTTATGCAAAATAGCATGGAAAATATTGATTTCTGAATTTTGGGTAAGAAAAGTGGGCGGTGTCCTATACATGGGGGCGTCTTATAGACGGAAAAATACGGTACTTTAAGATTTCCTATAGTACGTTATAATGTATAGTCATCAAATCATTTTCCAGAGTAACACCAAACACAAAAATGGATGATGACAAGAAATGATTGAATGTAATATGTAATATTCTGCCAAAACAGTGTAATACAAGTAGCTATAAATCTGATATGTTTCATGCTAAACATTGCTACCTCATAATACATAGAATGTACTTTCCTATAGCTGTAAAATTAATCTGATCTCCTTTCTCCACAGCAGCTTGGCAATACATTAGAAGCAATGTCTTGTGGGAAGATAGACGAGCACAAGCTGTATACAGAAATGTATCATAAATGCATGAAGACGGTATCCACGCTTGTCATGTGATGGGCTGGTGGATCTGAACAAGCATTATCCTTTTCGAAACACTTCAAGATAATTCGGAATTCCGTAAACAATTCCTCTACATTAAACTTTGGGAGTTTTGTTAATTGGGAGACTTTTGTTGTGGTACAACAGTTGGGAGCAGCACAAAGTGCATTTTGTTCTAATCTCTGAGCTTTTTGTTGGATTTTCATCCTACCAATACATTTATTTGGGGGGTGTACATTTCCACACACAAAAAATGACAATTCTGCCTAAGTATTTGGGCGTTGCATTGTAATTTATTACATTTGCGAAATCTGAACAGTTAAAGAACAAGTAAACTCAATACCAGTATTGTTGTTTTATGTATATTTGTTTTCACATTAAGAGCGGAAGCTCTACCATCTACTGTCTGATTGCAGTTGAAAAAATGCATTGATACACATAACCGTGACAAGCATTACTACAAGATTCACAAATGTTCACTAGCACAAAATACATACAGGGTTATTCACAAAAGGGTGAAGAGTTGGAGAAGGCAGGAGAAGTGAACAATCTAGGCCAAAATAGCTGAACTGGAAAGTGAGATGAATTGGAGAATTTTTCCAAATCAGCTATGTTGTCCTAGATTGTTCACTTCTCCTGCCTTCTCCAACTCTTCACCCTTTTGTGAATAGACCTGTTGTGGTTTCAATTCTGTGGAAGCTGAGAACTGTATTTTATTTTTCAGATATATGTAAAAAATATATATTTGTATGAGTGCTGATTTTTTTTTTTTTTATGGTTTACATTTTATACAAGATTAGCTTGCTTTGAAAGGCTACTGACTGGAATTTTTTTTTTTATTAAAAAGCAAATTATATTTTTATTCACTAATTTAATTTTTTTATAAAAGTAATGCAAAGAATAAATGTTCTTTTTTTTTTGTTTTGTTTTTCTTGCCCCTTATCTCTGCTGCTAAGTTTGTAGCATGTAGACATGCTGGCTTTGTAAAAGCATCATTGGAATAAAGACAAAGATACCACTATGACAATATCTGCTTAATTATGCACTAGCATTTGATAACGTTTTGTATTTTCTTAAGTACCCTTTTGTACATTTTCTGGGAGAGTTTTTTTTAATTATTTTAAATTGCACCTTCAGTTTGGGAGAAGACTGCATTCATGTGTTCATATTTTATATATATATATATATTGTTTGTTCTACCTGAGATTTCTCAGTTTTACCCAATTCTCTTTTGTTCTGTACAGTTACTGCCTTCTGTCTGAACTTAGAAAATTGAACACTGTGTTGTTGGGAGTTTTTGTTTCTGTACTTCAAATTTGCTGCCTTAAAGCATTTGGTGCAGAATTCTGCACTTATTTTGTACTGCCTTTTTAAAAAAAATAAATAAGAGCATTTTCTAATGTTGAGTTGACTTATATTTTTGTCCTATTTCTATTCTTTTAAATCAACAACAGCACCTTAAAGTAAAGGTTAGGCATTTTTTAAAAAAATACCAAGTACCTCCTTGTAACCTCCATACCTCCCCCCACACACACACACTGACCTGCGGTCAGTTGTCTCCTCCATCAGGATGTTAACGTTTAGCTAGCTAATTTATATTGAAGTTATTGTCTATAATGGAAGTGAGTTTGGAGTGGTGGCTACTTTACAACACACACAGGAACAATAGGAAACAAAGTAGCCACCCTCCCGAAGGAAGGACAGCGTCAAACACCAATTTGGTGATGATTTGAGGATCTACAGCTAAAGGATACACAAATAAGATACATTTTTGTTAATAGTTAAGGTACTTGAATGTATTTTTAGGATTAACTCCTGAGTTTAGTGTCACTTTAAGTCATTCATTCACTTTACCTTCTTCCTTTTCAACAGACATTCCTGATCACAACTATTCATCAACTTATGAAGAAAATCAGTAGTCATTAATCACAATTTTGTAATTGTATGTCCTTTTTGTACAAAATGTCTCGCTGGAAGCATCTGTGTCTAGCGAGACATTTTGTACAAAAGGGAAATGCAATTACTAAATTGTGATCTATGGCCATTGATTTTCTTCCTAAGTTGAAGGATGGTCATAATCATCTATCTCAAACCACATGTACCAGACTTCCTCTACAGATGCAGCTGCTGTCACCCTGTCATTAACTTGAACGGGTACAGTGCCCGCATCTGAATGGGGACACTTAGCTTTCCTGCATCAGGAATGCCAGATCGCTCCGTGTGAATGGAGCCACTTAGCTTTCCTGTATCAGGAATGCCAGATCGCTCCGTGTGAATGGAGCCTAAAGCATTAAGTAATTATTCTCTTAAGTCAATCTAATAACTTCCATAATAAAATGCACCTGAGCCATTGAATATGATCCCAATTGCTCATTCAACAATCTTGATGCTCTTATTCCCCTTCCATGATTGACAGAGGTTTATAATTCTTGTCCCAAGTGACCAAACTCACATACACATATCCAGCCTTTCTCAAAAAAATCATTTGGCTCTCTCAGGACACACCTACAGCCACCAGTCATAGGAGTCATAATTTTAATATTAAAAATGGTTACCTATTGTTTCTCATGTCAGATTGAGTCGTTCCCTGCATTAGGAGTCACTGCAAGACATTAGCAGATTGTTTTCCAAAATATTACTTGGCACCTCAAAGCACTTTTTTGATTGATACAATAAAATGCCCACATGGGCTGTGCAGGCAGGCGAAATTAGTCACGTTAGAAGATCATATCGAAAGGCATAGGTATTTAATTAGAGATAAACAAATAGAATTGCTGCTAGGAAGACAATTTGTAGAAAAAGGAAATACTAGTACAAAATTGTAATTTATGACTTGATTTCACAATTGCATTTTATGACTTAATTTTATTCCTAAATTGAGAGGTATTAATCAGGAACTTCTGTTGAAGAGGATGGAGGGGAAGTGGATAAATTACTTTAATACATTATATACATGGTGGGTCTCAATGTAGAGTTTGATTTACATCTACTGTTTTTTTTGAATGAGGTATAGTGACGGTAAATGGGCTGTTATTGTAGGTTTTGTTTTTACAGATACACAGAGTTATGGAAATGCGATCTTAGAGTTATCCACCTGTTAGTTCTTTACTCTGAAAGAGATGGGTAGCTTTGATATATTTAGGAATTGTAAAGTTAATGTTTGAATGAACATTATGTAATTTCCAATTTAGTATAAACGGAAACCAGAGAATAACCGCACTCCGCAAGATACAAGCGATTCCAGTTTAGTATGTATTTGAATCCATGAGTTGCTAAAAATTCTATGTTGCAACACTTTTCATGGCTCGAGGAAGGGTCAAATGAGACCACCCAAAGCTGTTGCATGTTTTAACAATAACTTTATAATAAAAGATTAATGCTGCAATACTGTCTCAGGTGTACCATATTCCTTTTGTGGATAGATATACTGTGTGTGTATGTATATAGATATATATACATATATATCTATATACACTGAGTGGCCAGATTATTATGACCACCCCATCAGCACTTCGTTGGGCCACGAGATGTTGAAAGGTGATGCGAGGAATCTGACACTGCACTGTTGACCTTCTGTTGTCTTGTACCAGCCTTGCCACTCTCCGTTCTGCCGTAACATTGACTAGTCGCTGACGGCCACAATTTGCACGTTTAGACCCAGATTTTCGGCTGACAGTCCAGTCTTTAAACACGTTAACAACAGCTGCTCTTTAACATTTAACAAATTCTGCTGTTTTGCTGATACTCGCTCCATGGCTCCGAGCGCCAACAATCATCCTACGTTCAAAGGCTGTTAAATCGCGTTGTTTACCCATATCTTCAGAAAAAAAAAATCACTTCTACTGTCAAGGTAAACAACCTGCTTCCCTATTTATAATGGTCTGGCCCTCTAGCAACTTCAGCGCGAAATTATAGCTAATTTGCCTACAAACGTCAGGTGGTCATAATAATCTGGCTAGATATATATATATATATATATATACTGTGTTAGTAAGACACATAGGCTGTTCACTCTGCAAGGGAATTTGCACTTCGCTGGGGAAGTTTCCCCAAAACTTGATAAATGTAGTGAAATTTCACTTTGCCAAGAATACCCAATCTTGGGCAAGGGCAATGAAAAAAAAAAACTATTTGTGCTTGCACATGATTGGGTAATGGAAGTCAACAGAGCTTACCCTCATTTACTAATCTTAGGGGAACTTCCCTTGCATAGTGCAAATTCCCTTTCAAGGTAAACAGCTTAGTTGCATTTAGTAAATCAACCCCGTAGAGAGAACATGGCCAGGTGCCTACATATTAGTCCTGGAGCTACTTTATTAACTTTTGGCATTGATAGCTGTACTTTAAGTAGTCAATAGAAATTAAATTATAGTTGTTTCATCTAAGTATTTTTGGTTGCTTGGGTAACAATCTAATACTGTATCTCTGGTGACAGGCAGATGTCCACCAGCAAGGGAGCATTGATTTTGTAGATAGGAAACCTATCATGATTGCTACATATATCCCCTATTCTGCCATCATTACATTTGCATTTATATAGACACTAACAGAGGAACTATACTTTCTGCTCACGGGAGGAAGTAATAACAGTTCAAATGCGATCCAGAGTGCCACTGGTTTCGTGTTTAGCATATTTTTTTTTACTTTTACAATGGCTGTACCCTGTTTACCTACTTTTTCCATACTTACTCTCCTCCCATCTGTGATCGTTCTCTTACACTTCCATCCATAGATGCTCTCCTGTGTCATTATTTTCTTGCATTAGTGCCCACTTGTCTCTCCGTGATTATTCCTTCTGCCCAATCTCCTCATTCTTCACTTACACCCATGCCTGCTCTCATCTGTTCTCCTCTACCTCTGTCCTTGATAGGTCCTCTCTCTTGTCATTTTTCTACAATACCATTCATGCCTACTTGCCTTCTCTCCTCATCGTTATGACTATTCAACATCTTTAAAGCTAAACTACAGGAAGATATAATAGACACAAATTAACACATCTCTTTATTCATTAATACATTATTAAGCATTTATTTTTTTTGCATACAGGCAGTGTAAGTACTTGACTTTGACCTGTTATCAGCTTCTTTCAATTCCTGTATAGCAAAGCTATGTGAGGGGAAGGAGTGCAAGGAACCAATCAGTTCATGTGTGACAAAAAGCATGCTGTTAAAAAGTGGGAGCAAAGTGACAGAGAGATGAGCTGCTTTTCTTTCACTTTCCAGGCACAAGGTAAGATGGGTCCATGACAACCTGGTTTTAAAGGAAGTGGGTTGGATGATACTGGCCATCAGTCTGGGGACATGTAGCAGCAGAAAAAAAGTACTGCAGGGGATATCTCT